TCCACCCTTAACTGGAGCTCTGGAATGTTCCTGCTCCGCTCTAGCCCCGTCATAGGCGGCAGTCCCGGTGGATTTCACTGTGGATTTGGGTGGTCAGGTTTTATTATTAATAATAAACTGTGTACAGTTGGGTACTTGGCAAGCTTGTGTCGACTCTGCAGCCCTCAGAGTGTGGTCTTGTGGTGGGGACACAGGGCCGCAGGTCCCTGTGGTGGACGCCACTCGGGGGCTCTTATGTAAGCGGGGCCCAGGGGCCGGCGTCTTCCCCCATGAAGGAGGTTCTTGTTTGTGCAGGCTGGAGGAGCAGTGGCCGCCGGCGCAGAGGACACGAAGCATCTCCAGCGTTTAAGCATTTGAAAACACAGTGTGCAGCATCTGTTTATTCTCCTGGGTTTTTTTTTTTAAGTGAATTTCTTATTGAGTATTTAATAAATATCGTTACACTTGTAAATATTTACATTACTTTTTATTTTAAATAATTCTTCACTTTTATTCATTGATACCAAGTAATGCGATTCATTTGACAGAATGGTGGCAGTTTTCATCACATTGAGCAAGAACACACTGTCTTTAACCAGCTAGGTTTTGATTTAGATTAACGGCACTTGGGAAGCTAAGACACACACCTCTTCACATCAGCTCGGGGAAGGAGCAGGAGCAGGGTGGACTCTGCCCGAGCAGTGCGGAGCGAACACAGCCCCGCTTTCTCTCACTGCCGTTCACACACACAGCCCCGCGGGGAATGGAGCGAGGTCACTGAGCAAGTCCTTTGCTTTGTGTAAAAATGACGTGAAAGGCTGCCCCTGAAAGTCATTAGGTGTCCGTTCTGTGAAGTTGTGCCTTTTTCAGAGGCAAGGGGGTGGGGAGAAAAAGGAGCCCTTTCAGGCAGAAGCCAAGCGCAACCTGCCACAGCTCCGTCGTCTGGACTCACCAGGTCCGGGCCCTGGCCCTCCGGGAGCACAGCCGTCCCTCCCCACCTGCCCCGCCCCACCCAGAGCTGCTGTCCTCCTCTGTCTGCCCCACTCAGCTGTTCCTCGCTCGCTTGTTCCTTAGGTCTCGGGCACACTCTCTGCCCCCTGGTATGGGAAGAACTTGGCCTCTTATCCACCACTTCATCTCTGCTGGCCAGAGCGGGCTGGTGCCTCATAGAGCCTCTATAGAAACCTCCGTCCAGGGGATGAGTGATACTCAGTGTGAATTAAGGAAAAAAAAAAAGTAGAAGTAAAAATTAGGGAGGTCTGCTCTCCATTTATTGAATGGGTTTTTTCATTCTAGGACTTTAAGTGAGAAACCCGTTGACAGATGAGCGTGTGTATAACCAGAAGTGCAGAAACAGGGTGGGGGGTCAGAATCAGCCCCTCATTTTGAATACTCTCCTAGTAAAGTCTGAAAGATCAAAAGAAGATTCCTTGGTGGTTAGAAAGGTCCTGAATCGATGACTTATGTTCCTCATGTTTCCTGCTGGCCAGGCCTGTACTGGGCGTGGGTGGGGCATGGATGCCAGTCATGCCCACCACCCAGCCCTGCAGAGAGGAAGCCAGGCAGGACCCAGGCTTGTGGCCAAGTCACCCTTTGCCACCAAATGGTGTTTGCAGAAGCAGGGAGAGAGTATGGGTTATAAAGTGGGGTCTGCCGGCCCTGTTCCTGGAGTGCACCCCTCCCCCGTGGAGGGCCCGTGAATCCACAGTAACAGCTGTCCCTGGCAGCCGGTGTTTTGAGGAGGTAAGGCTGACTACACTGAGTTTGGGTCTGCTGGAAAGTGTTGAGGGCATTCTCATCCTGCACACCGAGAACCTGCTTCTTGTCCTGCTCTGCTGCTTCCACTCAAAGATGGCCGTGTAGAGGGACCTGCAGGGCCATCCCCTCCAACTGGCCATCTGGGTCCTCATCCTCACTGTCGCTATCACCAGCATCATTGTGCGGTTTGACTACTTCCCTGCACCTTCAGCAGCATGGGTAGTACCCCCCAAAAATGTTATCAGTGTAAAGACAAAAACTTGAAGTTACCCATTTCACTTTTTATTTCTTTTATCAGTAAAGTTAAGCTGATTTAACATACTCATTGGCAAATTTGCCTTCTCCTTTTGAAATTGGTCTTCTGTGTTCTCTGCTCACTTGTCTTCCCCACCACCCGGCCTTTCCTTTTATTCCTGGTTGTGGAGGCGGTTTGTATATTTACGGGGTTAACTCTCTGGTTTATGTCTGGGTCTGTTTTTCCGAAGTTAGCAGCCTGTTGCTGATAATCTTTTAGGAATTCCAGTGATCACATGCCTGGGAATGGTAGAAGCGAATGGTTCCCATAAGTGTATGATCTTCTGACAAGTCCCCTTACAGAAAGACAGTTCGGCTAAAAGTGCTTATCAGTGACGTTCAAGTCTAACGGTGGGTGCCCTGAAGAAGCAGAAGCATCCCTCCTGTCCCCCTACCCCCACCCTACCTGGGGCAGCGCTCACCACAGTCACGACTTAGGTGATGAGACCATCTTCAGCAGCATGAGCTGGGGGACGTCATGGGCACAGCTCGACTCGGGCAATGGCGTTATTTTCTCAGACCGTGAGAGAGCACCAAGCCTGAAGCCTCATGCATCACGGTGGGGCCTTCCCGGACCCATGCTGGTGGCCGTGTACTTAACGTCTTTGTGTGTCCCTGGCTAGGCTAGTGCAGCCCCCACCACAGCCTGGGTGGACCCTGTTTCCAGGGCTCTCGTTGCTGACTGACCCTTGACCAGCCATTGAAGTTCCACGTTGATGTAACGGGAGTGGGGTTCTGCCGTCGGGAATTCAGAATGCGCCTAACTAACAAAAACTCCATTTGTGAGGGGCAGCAGAGGCATTTGGTATGTAATGAAGGTGGCAAGGAAAAGACATCTTTCTAATGATATTAATAATTTCTCAGCAGTTGGTCAAAATATCCATAGAGCCTTATATGCCAAAATCCATTTCTGAGCCATCAGAGTGAGTCATGAAAAAATTTAGCAAATAACCAAATGAATGAAAACTCAACACCAGAACCAAGGATAAAATTAAAATGATTGCCTATTAAACCATTGAAAGAACAATTGCGAAGTTTTAAGGAAAAGGAAAACTCACAAAGGAAAAACTAAAATAGACTTTATAAAAACAAGCGTTTTAACATTTTACCCCAATTGTAAAAGGAAACCAGAGGCAGGGTAAATGTGTGCGTACGCACACGGAGCAGCTGAGCACCACGAACCGGGGCGTCTGTGAGACTTGGTAACTGAGCTGACCTCACCTGAGGCGCACCTGGCCACCTTTGTGTTCTTCCTCCACAGCTGGGGCATGAGAATATCTATCTATAGCTCTCATGTGGGGCTGAACCAGACCAGGGCTGGCATATACTAGGCTCTCAATACAGCCGTTATCGTAAGAAACCCACATGACTCCAGTGGATACAACTGTGAAACATACACACACACACACAGACCCACAACAGCGCCGTGCACATCACAGAAAGATTCCTAAGAACACGTAAGCCAAGGACATGAATTATCTCGCAAGAGAGGAAATCAGTGCGTGTGCGGTGGTGCTCAGGGAGGCCTCACGGTGATGCCTGCTGGCTTCGTGGCTTTGGGTACGTGGTGATTGGACCAGCAGGAGGAGCAGCTGCCCCCGCTGCAGGTGGATGGGTGGTTCAGGGGGGTCAGTGTGCAGCGACGTTTCGTTTTTGTTTTGTTTTTTTTCTTTTGAGACAGGGTCTCACTCTCACTGCCCAGGGTGCAATGCAGTGGCACAGTCTTGGCTCACTGTAGCCTGGACTTCCCGGGCTCAGGTGATTCTCCCACCTCAGCCTCCCAAGTAGCTGGAACTACAGGCACATGCTACCACACTTGGCTAATTTTTGTATTTTTAGTAGAGACAGGGTATTGCCATGTTGTCCAGGCTGGTCTCGAGCCCCTGTGGTCAAGCAATCTGCCCTCCTCAGCCTCCCAAAGTGCCGGGATTCCAGGTGTGAGCCTTCGGGTCTGGCCTATGTGTAGGGATATTTTGGACAGCAATTTAGCAAGATGTGCCAAGGGTTAGAATAGTAAGTTTGTCAGATGTAGTCACTTTGCCAACCTGACCTAAGCAAGTAATTCTAAAGATGGTCAGTGTTACCCACTCATAAATGTTCACTGCAGCGTGGTTTCTAACAACCAAAACTGCCTCCCAGTCAGGAAGTGGTTTTGTAAACATGCTTCACTCACCTCACGGTGTGTTTTTGACCATTACAAACGCTATCTGAATATTATGCAATACTAGGAAGATACTTAAGGTGCTGTAAGAAGGATAGAAGTACTGTGTGGTTAGATTGGAGATCTGAGGAGAGCAGGCTCCGTGCTAACAGGCCTTGTGTTCAGGGTGAGACTGGCCTTTTTTTGCCAGTTCCCTTTAATGAGGCTTTGAAAAAGAATCACCACCACAAAGAAAACCACAGTTTCGACTTCAGTCCCACTTGGTGCAGTCACTCTGCCTGAGTCTGAGCTGCCAGGCTGGAGAGGACAGGCGCTGCCCTTTGATGCTGTTGGAAGCAGAGCTGGCCGTCATGTCGGCACAGGTGTGGAAGCACGCCTTCCTGTGAGACTGGCTTTGTCCCTGCGTGATGCTTCCATTTGCACAAAGCCTTCTCTCTTAGATTCTGCCTCGCGGTAGCGAGAATGCACCTGCCACGCTGCCACTGCCTGATGCAGAGTGTTCTTTTGTATAAGAATGTTAAAACTTCCTTCAGAAGTGTTTGTGTTAGCTCACAATAAGTCTTTGGGATGATTAAATCTGCATTGTAAATAGAATGCAATTATGTAAAATATCGATGGGAAGAAGACCTCTTATTAAAACCCCTCCTGGCCTTGGTTCTTTGAGGCAGCGCTCAGGGGGCCACAGCGTCCTGAAGGTGCATAGCCGTCCCCAGCCCTTCCCTCCCTCTGTGGCCCCGCTGCCCTGCATTGCTGCTGTAGGGCAGAGCTAGCTACACTTCAACGGCCGCTGTGCTTTCTCCCACACCAGGTGCTGTGGCCAGCACAGAAGTGAAGATGAAGTTACAAGAATTTGTCCTCAATAAAAAGAAGGCGCTGGCCCATCGGAATCTGAACCACTGCATTTCCAGCGACCCCCGCTACTGGTACGGGTAAGTGTGGGTGTGGGGAGCACCCCGGCCTCCTCTCTGAGGGCCCAGAGGACCGTCTGATCATTGGTAGATTTGCATGGACCCAGCTATGCAAGGAAGGAGGGTGAGGGATTGAAACCCCAAGCACAGTGGTGCTCGGACGTGGGTGACATGGTCTGGGGGTACACTCACACAGCGGCGGCCGTCCTCACGGGGTGGGCCCCTCCAGAGTGACGTGGTCTGGGGGTGCACTCGCGCGGTGGCCATCCTCATGGGGTGGGCCCTCCTCCAGAGTGACGTGGTCTGGGGATGCACTCACACAGCAGCCATGCTCATGGGGTGGGCCCCTCCAGAGTGATGTGATCTGGGGGTACACTCGCGCGGCAGCCATCCTCACGGAGTGGGCCCCTCCAGAGTGAAGTGGTCTGGGGGTACACTCACATGGCGGCCATCCTCACGGGGTGGGCCCCTCAAGAGTGACGTGGTCTGGGGGTACACTTGCGCGGCAGCCATCCTCATGGGGTGGGCCCCCCTCCACAGGGACCGAACAGTGCTCCGGGGGCTGGCGCCTGTCGTTATTCTTGGTAATGTTGTGCCATTTTTCAGCCACAATAAGAGCCACTTAAACTGGAACTCTTGTCGGATTCCTCTGTGCTCCTGTAGCGCTCCCACCTGATGTTTCAGTGATTCTTAGGCTAGTCAGGAGGCCCCTGTGGTACTTCTATTGTTTTATACTAAGAAACCCTGCCAGAGCCCATGCCATTGACAGCGACCACAAAAGACTTGTTCGTCTGAGGGCTGAAGAGATCCGGCATGCCATGCAAAAGACGGCCTTCGGAGGCGAGTTCACAGAGCCCAGTGCGAGCGAGTGGTGAGGTGACGCGGCTTTCAGCAGTGAGCAAGGGCAACAGGATCGCTTTGAAATGTAGTTTTCTGCTGCTCTCAAGGTTCATTTCATTTCTAGAAAAAAAATCCCATAAGGGAGTTTTTGTAAATCGAAATATCAGTAATTTCCTTGGGAAAAAAAATAGCTATTCTCAAGCCTCAAAATGGACAGCTATGTGTAGTGAAATCTCCCACAGCTCGGACGTGATGTCTCTTGTTTCCGTGGAGGCCGCCAGCTACCCTGACACATCCCAAAAGATGTTTCCAGTACAAGTGACCCACGCCCTCCGCTCCAGCAGCCGCTGTGCTTGCCAGGGGCACATAAGCTGCACTCACGGCAGACACACCGCCCGGATTTGGGTAACTCAACCAGGGACACAAAAACTCATAGGGAAGAGTAAGACCAGTGTCCGTGGGAGGCAGCACGTGACAGCAGTGAGCCATGGGGACCTGAGAGAGGAGGAGGCTTCCTGAGAATCGCTGGCGATCGGCACCTGGGAGCCCACTTTGAGGGGGGACCCTGATCTGTGCCCCCAAAGCCAGTCCACTGCCTGGACTGGTTGTAGAGAAACTCCATTATCCCACTGGCTGGGCTGGGGTGTGGGGTTGCAGGGCAGAAGGAGCAAGGGACAGGAGTGTGGATCGCGGTTCAGATGGTGCCCCTGGGGTCCAAGCTGGAAAGGGCAGGATGAGGAGCCAGGGGCAGGGTGGGCGGGGAACCTGGCAGAGGTTGGAGAGCTGGAGTGCGGAGCCTGCTGGGCCAGGGCAGAGCTGCCTTAGGTCCCTGTGTACAGGGAGGCTGTGAGCAGCCGAGCAAGGGAGCTTTGAGAAGACAGTGATGGGAGTGGGGCAAGCACAGGCAGCCCTTTCTGAAGAAGAGGACGGAGTCTGGGAGGCTGCAGCGGGAAGATGCAGGACCAGAGCAGTGGCCGCTGGGAAGCAGGGGTCACGGTGAGCACAGGGCAGCCCCCGGAGGGTGGCCACGGCAGCATGGAAGAAGGTGGGAGCCGGCGCCTCCTCGCCCAGGAGTGAGTGGAGAGCGGACGGGGGCAAGGCCGGCAGGAGTAGAAGCCAGGCAGTGACTTGGACCTGGACCTGAGGGGAGGACGGAGCAGCAGGCCCAGGGAAAGGCTGTACCTGCAGTCAGGGAGGCCACGGGAGAAGGGGTGGCCTGGGGCAGCCTCAGGGCGCTGGGGGACGTGCTGAGAGACGGGAGATAGGGGGCTTCCAGGGAGGAGGTGACAGAGTGGCTGGGGCTGGGAGGACTCACTTTTCATGGAACTCCCTGGGTGAGCTGGGTGCTCAAGGTGGGTGTCTTGGCCTGGACAAGGCCCGCTTGCCCTGGCTTTAATGGCAGGGGGCAGGGGTACCTCTTCTCAGAGGGTTCTGGGGACATTCAGGTTGGAGGGGGAAGGACTTGATCTCAAGTCAGCCAGAGGACAGGTTTGTTTCCATGGAGTCTGGTGGTTTTCTTGTTTTGCCATGTTTGAACCCTGAACTTAAACATCATGGAGTGGTGGCAGAAACTTTGTCAGAAAACCGGCTCTTCGTGGAGAAAGAACTGAAACCCTGACCCCAGCTTCACACCACGCATGATTAGTTCAGATGTCATAGACCTGAGCATAGACGCGGAACTGATCAAACTTCTGGAAGGAGACCTAGTAGAAACTTTCCCAACTTTGATGGGGAGTGAGAGGCAAGATTCCTTAGGTCGCCAGAATCATCGACTAGATACCGAAAACCCAAAACAGGATATTTCCGCAAACCGAAACACTTCTGCTCTTTGAAAGGCACCATTAAGAAAATTAAAAGGCAAGCTACGGAATGGAAGGAAATATTCACAATGCATGTATCTGACACACCGCTTGTATCCAAAATGTAGAGCTCGCTCCTATAACTCAACAGTAAAAAGACAAGCCGCCCACTTAAAAATGTGGGCAAAAGGTTTGAACAGGTACCTCACAAAAAAAGGCATAGGGATGGCCAGTAAGTGTGGAAAAAATGCTCAACATTGCTGGGCATCAGGTAAATGCAAATCAAAACCACGGCAGGCAGCCCCTTCATCCCTGTGGGGCTGGCCGGAGTTACACAGGCCGGGGGCTGGAGCAGAGGTGGTGTCCCTGGACCTCTGAGTGCTGCCTGTTGGAATCCGAATCATACCTGGGGAAACAGGCAGGCAGTTTCCTACAAAGACACACACCCACCAACCCTGTGACCCAGCGATGCCCCTTCTCCGTATTTGCCCAAGACATATGAAAGCAAGCAACACGACGAGTCGCCTTCTTACAGTCACGGTCACCAAAGAATGGAAACAACCAAGCTCCCATCAACGGGAACGGCCGCGCAAACGGAGGCCCCTGCATGCACTGGAATGCTGCTCCGCAGTGACAAGGAACGGACCACTGGCGCCTGCGGCAGCTTGGGGGAGCCCCAGAGGCGTGGTTCCTAGACAAAGAGGCCACCCCCATGGTTCCACTGATGAGAAATTCAGAGTCAGCAAAGCGAATCGACTGTGAGAGAAAGCAGACCAGGGCTGGGAGGCTGCAGAGATGGGTGGTGCTGTGGCTTCATCAGGGCGTGGACTCCAAGGGTGTTTATGTGCATCAGCGTGTCCAGCTTTAAGACTGTTGTGATGAGGTGGCACTCTTCCGTGTAGCTGGCACAAGTCACACGTGGCTCCCGAGCACTTGAAACGTTGCTGGGTCTGCCAGGACATGCCGTTGATGCAGAGTGCGGGATTTCGGACACTCGGTCTGAAGGAAGGACCCACGGTGTCTTGTCAATATGTTTATATTGATTATAAGTTGAAAGGATGGCTTTTATAATGGTTTAATCGAATACTAAAATTCCATTCATTTATTTTTAAGCCACGTTAATGTGGCTACTAGGAAATTATAAATTTCGGATGCGGCTCCCATCATGTTCACTCTGCTAGCGTGTCCTGGCACGTGTGGTTCATCATTGTATTTCTTGGAAATCACTGGTACGAATCTGATGAAAGGGCAATGGTTTGGAATTGAAGTGGTTGGGTTTGTATGAAGCTTTATTCTACAGTCAAACCAGTGTTTAGAAGAAAACATTATTTGCTTTTCCATCTTTCTCCAGAAGACAAGGATTGCCTTTAGGTGCGGCACCGGGTTGGCCCCAGGGCCCCATGGGGGCTGCGCCTTGGCTCCTGGCCTGGCGTCTGTGTCCCATCCCCGGGCCTCGAGAAATGAACGGTTGAAAAATTGGAAGATAATTTCTAGTCAGGGTGAGGTAGAGGGAGCAGCTCTGCAGGTTCTGCCCTCTGGACTCTGCAGGGTGGCCAGTGTGACTGTGTGTGTGTGTGGAGTGTGGCCAGGGTGAGTGTGAGTGTGGGTGTGAGATTCCGGTGAGCTTAGTGTAGGGTGTGAATGTGGGATGTGGGTGTGTGGAGTGGGTGAGGTGAGTGTGGGGTATGAGTGTGAGGTGTGGGAAAGGTGACAGGTGTGAGTGTGAGATGCGGGTGTGTGTGTGGGAGGTGGGCGTGGGGTGTGGGTGGGTGTGAGGCATGAAGTGTGGGTGTGTGGGGTGTGGGTGGGATATGTGTGTAAGTGGGTGTGAGGTAGATGTAAATTGTGAAGTGAGATGGCAAGCTTGATTTTATAAGGTTAGGGCGTGGATGGGTATAGGTTGTGAGGTGTGGGGTGTGGAATGTGGGTGAAGTAATGTGTGCAGTACAGGTATAGTGTAGTTGGATGTGGTAGTGTATGCGGGGAGTGGCTGAGTGGGAAGTAGTGTGTGCGGTGTGAGTGGGTGTGAGTAGTGTGCAGTGTGGTGGGTGTGAGTAGTGTGCAGTGTGGGTGGGTGTGGTAGTGTGTGCAGTGCAGGCCCATGAGTGTAGTTGGTGTGACTAGTGTGCTGTGTGAGTGGGTGTCAATGGTGTGTGGTGTGGGTAGGTGTAGGTAGTGTGCAGTGCAGGTATGAGTATAGTTAGGGTGTGAGTAGTGTGGTGTGGGTGGGTGTGTGTAGTGTGCAGTGTGGGTGGGGGTGTGTAGTGTGCGGTGTGTGGGTGGTGCGAAGTAGTGTGAGGTGTGGAGTGGGGAGCATGCGGGGTGTGAGTGGGTGAGTAGTGTGTGGCTGTAGTGGTGTGTGTAGTGTGCGGTGTGGGTGGG